ATCACTCACTAATCTTCTTTAATCAACAGCTTAACACTTCACGCGATTATTTGCAACATGGTGAAAGAATTTTATATTCAATTTCACGTATAAGCCACATGAACTTTGTCCTACTTATCTTTAAACACCTTGTATACATATGAGTAATATTGATACAATTATGATTATTACACGTTTATACGATAATATTATATAATAATGATATATGCTCAGTTGATCGCGCAATATTCGCAATAATAATTCGATATTTAGAAATCTCTATCTTACGTGTGATTTGAACTCCGTGATGTTCGAAAATCAGGCTTGACACGACGGTTCGGGTACGCATCTCGGGAAATTGAACGCGAACATTTGCCATTCGCCAGGCCGGCTGGACAGGTGCTGCTTTGAGTTCTGGTTGTGGCACAAATACGACCACGGCGCGAAGGGACGAAACGTTAATAGAGTCCAAAATCAATTAAACGGCAAATTGTCCCGAGGGGAGTTAATGAATAATTTCCATACAATTATGAGCCACACGCCTGTGTAATTGTTAGTTTAAGCTTGAGCCTGACCGCAACGCACAATTGACCACGTCTTTATTAGAGTGTGCGCGGAAACGTTGTCAAATGAGCTGGTTTCCCTCCGAACGGGAGCCGCATAACTATTTATTAATGGACTTGTGTGTCATCGTCGGTCTGCAATTCTCACGTTTCTGTTGCTTCACTTTGCAATCGTTTAGGCTATTTAATCGACACATCGCGATAAATTAAAAGTACCTTCCATTTTTGAGATCTGGAAATGCGTTTAGCGCAGTTCGGAGGTAAAAGGAAGAATAAAAGAGATAATATTCATAAAGGACACTCGAGCCGCGTCCCGCGAACCTCCAGTTGCATTTAGGGAAATCGATTTTCATTATGGAAATTACCGTTTCGTGCAAATGACGTGCCAAACGGCTTACGGAACGAGACACTGTATCGCGTAGTATCGCGTAGGTATCTAATTGCCACGGATCGTTAATTAGGTATCTGCTGCAGTGGATCGTGCACGTCGATTTCGGCTTTCCAATTACGACATTCTAATGAGTAATTATCCTCTCTCAAGACGCCTTGTTCCGCGTGATCCTTCGCGTATCCTCCGCGCTGTCTTGATGCATTTAATTGTCCAGGCGTGCCGTTATATTCTCATTCCGATGAATGAAATTGCATAATAATAGATGTAGAAAAGCATTCTGCATTAAACAATTGCATTTGACTCCGAGTATATAGCGGGAACGTTAAGGGCATTTCATTCTTGAAGATTGCCGGCAATATACTGAGTTTTCTGCAAAGTTCATATTGTTGCACAGAATTACAAATGTATTTATTACACATGTATTTATATGTACAATTAATATGTACAACAGTTAGAGTATTGCTCAATGTATGACAGAAACGACAAAAAGAAATTCAAAATTGACATTTCCACATATCATTATCTTAAATACTTGTCTGATACAAAAGTTTTGCAGCTTTTGCATATTGAACGTATGTTTGCTCCGCTCAGGAAAATTTCAAAAAATATTGCTGAATCTTTACACAATTGAATTTAAAAGCTTAAAAATATATAAAAAATTGGCAGAGATATATATATATATATATATATATATATATATATATATATATATATATAGAATATATTTATATATTATATATTTATATATTTATATATCTATATTTCTATATATATGATTGCATTTTCCGCCAAATATGGTAAAACCAAGCACACATTTATATAAGATCTACATTTGATATTTTAGACTATCTACAATCAAGATCTACATTTACAAGAAATAGAAAAAAAATAACGTGATCGTGTTAGTGACGATCGTCGATATTTTTGTAAAAAATAAGTAAGTTTCGTAAGTTCGTCATCCAGTTCAGCATCCCCTTAAAAAGTTGCCATACTTGAAAACTTTATCAACAAGATATTGGCTTTTTTCTAAAGTCTAAGTAAATGTTACTTATCGTGTTTGTGACAATCGCCTTTACGTTGTCGACATTTTTCGAGTTTGTCATCCACTTTGGCATCTCCCTAACAATAGTTGTTGCTGCCTTGCTATACCTTGAGTACGATTATCGAGATTCTATCTTTTTCTTCCTCCTCCCTACTTGAAGATGACAATTAGTTAACTAATTCCACTTACAGGGTGCGGCGCCAAAATCCAGACAAATTATACATTTTTTCCAAACATATTTTTTATTGCAAAAACGAAAAGGTTTACAAAATTTTTTTAACCACATTGTTTGTAAGGCCATAAAGAACACATTTACTCAATATATTCCCCGCTTGCTTGAATGACCGCCTCCATTCTCGGTCTGAAGCGTGCGCAGGCGCGCTTTAATGTGTCACAGTCCATATCGGTGAATGCCGCTTCAATAGCGGCTCTCAGTGATGCGACGTTTGGATGTCTGGACTTGTGACCCTTTCAACTACGCTCCATACATAGAAGTCCAAAGGATTCAAATCTGGGCTGTAGGAAGGTCAGAATTCTTTCGACCAAAACATGTCGACGTTGTCCGACAACCAACTCGCTTTGTCCTGACGGCTTCGGAAAGCATCTGTCTCACTTTAATTGTGTAAGACTTGTAGCGGAAGTCCTCCTCGACGATTCGACGCATAGTTTTCTCGCTCACACCAACAACCGACGACAATTTTCGGATCGACTGCCCTGGGTCCTCAAAAATTAGCTCCTGAGCCCGTTGAATGATGTCGGGCGTTCTGACAACGCGCTCCTTCGAGTGGGTTTTCCTCGCTGGTGTTGCAAAACCTTCGTTAGACTTCTCCGATTCATTGTACTTTGCGATGACATCATACACAGTCGATCTCGGGTACCCGAAGAACCAAATGATTTCTGTCGCCGAGCGCCCGGCGCGAACACTTTCGGTAATCGCGGCTCTTCGGTTATACTCCGCACTTGGTTTTAACATTGCGACTGTTTCGAGGTTATGATGGTTTAGTGCATGCGTCAATCTATTTGAACGCTAATCGCGACATCTACCAGTGGTATAGAACGGCGAGAATTTCAAATTGAATTTTGTCCGGATTTTGGCGCCGCACCCTGTACAACCGCGTTTCGTGCACAGTCAACAAATGATGGATAAAATAACGAATGTATCACTGGGAGCATAAAACACAACGCTTGCCGCGAATCAACATATTCTCGCTTTCTTGCGCATACATATACAATCATATGTTAATTACATTTCCTACAAATCAATATCATCATACTGCAGTCGATCGCGGAAATAACATTATTACGAATTACCAACGAAACGTAGTTATTCGATGAGCTAATATTACACTCATCTGCCAGTCACGCGCGATGTAAAGTAATTTCATTGATGAAACAAAATTGCGATGCCACTCTGATTACTCCTGATTATTAACTCTCGTCTCAGCCTCGTGTCGGTTTCGGGTATAGAGGAGGGCAAAAGCTCGATATTGATGTTCGTTTCTTTTCTTCTCTTGCTTCTTTAGCGTCTTCTTTAGCTTCTTTTCTTTAGCGTCTTCGTGATTTTCATTTGCCGATGACCCGACCTGTAATAAGATCTCCATCCATCACCCGTAATTCGTGATTTACATCACTACAGCCGCCAAACAAACGCATGCAAATTAATACGGAAAGCGATATGGCGCGGCTCTCGCCTGCCATTGTCGGTCTTCGCGCCTGTGTCTATGTGTGTACGTGCGAGCAATAAGGACACGCGATAACGCCAATAACATCCGTTAAGCAACAACGTTATCAACGGGAAGATCTCGGCGAAGCGCATGGTCTTTGTACAAAAATAGAATTACCCGTTACAGCCAAGAAAGCTTGAGTGGCAGAGAGGAAGAGAAATACATAGAGGAGGGGGGAGAGGAGAGAGAGAGAGAGAGAGAGAGAGAGACTTAGTCACTTTCAGCAGACTCGAGATTATTAGATTCGGGATGCTGTGCCCTGCACAGATGCTGTAAAGTTACGAGCTCTTCGTATCCGCGACGGAGAAACAGGGTCGCGCATCGAATGACGAAGGATATTAACCTTCACGTGCGCGCATCCTCTCTTTTCACGTCGTTTTAAGTAGTTTACGCTTGAAATGGATGCGCCATGGTACGGGAAATGCGATTTCGAGAAATTCTCTATTTTGCCAATCGATGTCAAAACTGTAGTTAGATCTTACGAGGCAATATCTCACTAACGACAAAAGAAAAGACAGCATCGCGCATCGGAACAAAAGAGCAACGGAAGGCGTAAATCTGCACGGGTGTGCTGTGAATTGCACGCCATTAAATCACATATGTATAGGATTATACACACACATACACAGCTAAAAAATTCGACTCAATATTTAATAGATGACGTCACTTACGTATAACAAAGCAACAATGCTGATAATGCTTTGCCGCCGGAGAAGAATCGCAACAATCATAGATAATGATTATATGACCGATAAATAATTTCTTTCCATCGCATGCGATAAAATCAAATTTGTCTGAAGAAATCAAACTGAGCGTTTGACTGATTCGATTTGTCACGCAATATACAGAATGCTCCATTTTAACTGCACGCATATGTCTCAAAAAGAACGAGACGTTATAGAAAAAATGTGTCAAATAAAAGTTGTATGGCTTGTCAATTTTGATTTTCAAAGAGTCTTTCGGAAAGACCAGGTTAACCTAACACAAATCAATTCTGCATTTAAAAGTACTGAGATAAAATTGTCGAAATTTTCCTTCATTTTAATTTTATATCTAGAGAGCCTATTTTTCTTTTGTTAAAATAGAATACTCTAATGTGCATGCATAAATTATTGGTATTAGTGTACTCAGTTTTTTCGCGCTTTGAACGAATATCACACGTGACAGAGGAGAAGAATTACTCTGAAAGAAATTACTTGACTACTTGATTTTATGCGTATAGAACCGTACAACTTTATACGCGCGAATTGTATGATTTGCTTTTCTTTTCTAGCTGACACTGTTTACTTCTGATTAACTAGATACCTCAAGTGAGCTACGCGTCCACCAGCACGGAACTTTCGGACAAGAGCCGTTTCGAGTACTTCAGCAGGGTGGTGCCGCCGGACAATTTTCAAGCGCAGGCGATCGTCGAGGTGATCCATCTGCTCGGCTGGAAATACGTTTCTACGGTCGCGGTGGAAGGCGAGTACGGCGAGAAGGTGAGTGTCGGGCTTAACTCGAGACAGCTGACATATTGCGTCTACTATAAGGACAATTATTGTGCCGCGTGTATTTTTCTCCTCTTCCTCTATTTAAAAAATCGTATTACGTGTTCCACATGAGTTTTTCTCTAACAACAATGAGACGGTAATCTTTACGAATGAGACGAAGTTACATATTGATGTTTATGAAAACTACAAAAAAAAATTATGCAGCTGTTTCAAAATATTTCTCGGATATATGTATGAACAGTTCGATAAAAAAGGGATATATCTCAATCAAACGACATATACTAATGCAAAAACATTTTATTGAGTTGCATTGCATTTTGCGAATGTCAGACGGTTTCGGTTAAGTAATTATCGCATAATTATCGGAGCGAATTTAATTGTGTCATAATTATCGCAGTATTGTAAATGAATCCGCAGTATAATTGCCTTATTTTCACGATCTGCGAAATGAAAACGTGAGTCTATCTTTGTGCATTAATGACGATGAAATGATGCCCCCTGAATTACAATCTCATCGCCGGAACTCGAAATTTCCAATTATATCGCGAGATTATTCTTAAATCTTCAAAATTCGATCAATTAAAGCATTCTCGCGTAACCGGTGTCTAAATTTCGCAATTATATCGAAATTGATATAAATGGAATTTCGACATTGAAAGATACCTCCGTTATAAGAGCAAAAGTACGCTTGATAATCGTTAGAGAAACAGTCACCGTTGCATATCATTTCTCATCATTTGTCATTTCAACAGACGTACATTGCCCGAGGTACAAATCGCATTTATTCTCGTCTATTTGGGTCAGGTTAGTTATGTCTCTATGACAGAAGTGTTGCTTAGAGCAGCAAATTGAAAGTGACAAATCATTTGTTCTCACTACAGGATCATACGCTGTCCTACATTAACAAAGCATTTGTGTTGTGGGTACTGTTAAATTAGCAAAACTTTTTCTCCCTCAGCACACCTGCACATAACACACGCGTAACTACGTCGTTCCGTTAAGCCGCCCCGCGATTACCTCGATGCCTCGTTAGTGTAATAATTATTGCAGCAAGTGACAGTCATAATAACGATTAAGCGATGGCAATTACGATATGAAATTGCGCCTGCGACCGCGTTAACAAGCTGAGACGAAATTAATTGCGCAATCAAGCAAGAAAACTCCATGTTAAGGCGCCATCTGCCGCTTAAATTAGGCGATTAGTATGCGATGAGGAATTCCGCGTGAAGAGATTACCGGCGCGATCCAATCCCGCAAAAATTGCGGGTAGCAAAACTTTCCGGTCAACTTCCGCGCTTCTTGAATTCGTCGTCTCCTAATTACGGACCTCCGCGAAAGATATTACGTTCAGTCTGCGGTAAAAGGCTCGGAGGAATGAATCACGGAGATGATAATTCTCTAGTTTATCTTTTTTTATCAATCTCTAGACTAGAAGTTTGTGATCTTGGTGAGGTTGATTCCAATATCCAGAATCCAGTTATCAAGTTTGCATAAGATAATATCATCGGGTCTTAGTGGACCACGCAGTGGTAATCAAGAACCTTCTTAAGAATTCATCATAGATCCCAGCTAGATACTCGTGAAATCTTCGTCAGATCCTCACACGGAAGAAAAGATTATTTTGTGTGAGAAAGAAAAAGAAATCCGATCGTTTCAATTAATAATTTAAAAAAGAATCTGATATTTCATTAATAACGTATGGTCTTTGTACATCTCCGCCGCAACACTCCCATTTAGATATTTGTATGAACGATCACCCAACCTTTTGCTGACTTCAAATGTCGTTTAATTTCACGATTAAACAGAAATTGTTGATGCTAACGAACTCTCACTTACAGCTTATAAATCATCCTTATAACTTAGCATCTTATAATAATTTTTGGTATATAATACTTGAAATTAAAGAAAGAAAATGTAGAAAATAAATTTTTGGATCGCATCTATTATATGTAAAATTAGTCAAATGATTAGTTAAATGATTTCTATTAAATTCTGTTGAATGAATAATATATCTAGGATCCTGAAATGGACTTATAATGGGACTAACCATCATAATCTCACAAAAAATTTCCTTATTTAGTTCTCGCTATACCCTTATCAGATATACCATACTTAGGATTATCTTACGTTTGTTCAGTTAGATCCTTATACAATATTAGACATGTCTAATCAAAATTTCTAGGCGGGAAGTTAATACATAGGATCCTAATATGGACCTATGTGACAGACTTTAACTATCATAATCTTACAAAAATCTTCTTTATTTAGAATTACCTTACGTTTGCTCAGTTAAGTTCTTGTACAATATTAGATGGATCTGATCATAATTTTAGTCGAGATGGAATGATGCCTCAAATAAAATTTGCGAATGATAAATTCTCAGTCAAATAAATTGTGTGCCAGTCATGCGTCAGTACGTCGTCGTTAAATCTCCGTACTTCTGATATTTCCTCATTCCGCTTGCTCGATCGTTGTCTATTAAACGTATATTTTTCAATTACGTGTTTGAACAGACACGATCTCTTCTGTTATCGTAATTCCAATATCGTTTTATGTTATCATCTGCGCGTTCGTCGGACGAGACTGTAATAATTCAGCGCGCTCGCGATAATTCAAGGGGAAACGCTCGTAATTTCGCCAACGTTGAAACGCCGTGCAAGAATTTTTCATATTCCAGCGAACATTGATCGCAGGATGATTTTATGACCCAATTATAACGGTGAAATGGCTGCTTCCTGACGATTATGTGTCCACGACAATGGTGTGTTCCGCGTCTTGGAACGCGCGAATTTGCAGACGTCGTGAATCGTGCACCGGCTGCGCGCACTCGAAAGGACCCCAGACGGAATGGTAGTAATCGGGTTCCGAGTAATTAAGCGCTACCACTGATCAGCCTAATTAATCTCTACTAGGTATCACAATGGTGCAGCGATTACGTCGCATGAGTAAGTTTGCCGCTCGATCCAGACTCCTAAATATACTGTGTATAATCGCAGATATTCACAGACTATTAATTCTGTTAATGTTCGGGCTACTGTAAAACAACACGACGTTGGTTATTCTACCTAAGATGTTTTCACAGTGCTTTCAGCGGTATTACAGGTAAAACAAACTTCACCGGGAGAAGTATTTTGATTGCGTTTCGAGAATTTACAGCCGAATATACGGAAAAAAATATAATAAATTATTACGATATAAATATCATAAAAGAAAAAGAGGCAGACAAGATAGAATACTTTTCGGAAAATCATCAAAATAACGTTAAAACAATTCTTTTTCCAAAAGCAATTACATAGATGCTTATTATGGCTGTTACTTAAATTTAGCAAAAAGAAAATGTATATTTTTAATATTTTTCTAGGGATAATTACAGAAAGTGGTATCAATTTCTAATTTGCTCGTAAGATGGATCATTAAACAAAAGTCATCAAATCGATTAGAATATACAACAAATATATATATTTATTAATATATGTCCGACTAAATAGTAGTTAACGTAAAACATTAACATCTCAAGAGGCACAAAATTATTTTATAAAATAAAAACTATAACTTGTCTGATATAACATTGTTAAATTAAATTATTGTTTAACATAACCTTCTGTACAAGGCTTGCCACTAGAAACACCAAGTTTTCATTAAAGATATAAATAAAAAAATATATATAATAGAAACAACTATAAAAAAAAATAATAAAAATTAAATTGTATTATTTGCTTTGCTTTTGGAACGATTTCTTTGTATACTATTATTACTTTACTATTATTATTATATTATTATTAACTTTATAAGAACACAATTATCAACTTTTGTAATGTAATTTGGATTCATCTAAGTAACTGTCCATATTACTGTGCCTGTTTCTGTGCCTTTATATTTAAATAAGCCATAAAAACTAGCATGAAGTTGAATAAGTGGAAAAAGTATTTTTTTATTAAGTTTAATATTTTAACTTAATTTAAAAAAATACTTTTTCTGTTTATTTATGCTGGTTTTTTTTTTGCTTATTTAAATAGAAAAACATACTAATAGAAACAGGTACACAGAAATAGAAACAGAAATAAACACACTAATAGACACAGTAATATGAACGATTATCCTATCCTGTAAGGGCAAAGAAAATTTAGACGTTTCATCTTGCTCGCTTCTTCCCTTATATTTATTGTTTTAAATATGTAAGTAATGTATTAGAGTAAAGTATATTTCAATAAGTAAAAATTCTATTTTTAACATTATTATTATTTAAATATATTATTAAACGAGAAATGCCGGTCTCTTTAGGCAAACAATATCTCAGAATGGATGCTAGGAAATATGTATGAACGGGGATCCGATCTCTCCACGATAGCGGTCAGGAGGATAATGAGACGCTCGCGCTTCCTTTTGGTTTTTTACGAAAAATTTATGAGCCGCTTCTTCCGCTAAACGCTCAGCATGGCGCGCACTTGTCGCCGTTGCTAATGCGGTGTATATTTCAGCGGTCGTAAGCCCGCTTAAGGCGATTATACGAATGTGGTTTCGTTAATAACCTTATAACGGCGCGGGATAAAGTGGACGGAGAATATTTATCGCGAATTAAGGAACGAGAAGCAGCGTATCGCGCGAACCGCGCCCATGAGAGAAATTCCCGCGCAGCGGCAGGAAGTTTTCTCCTCCGCGAGCAACAATTGCCATTCTCCAGCTCCAACTTTGAAAATTGCGCGTGGCGATCAATGATAATAAAACCCTGGAGGAAGGAGAAGAAAAAGTCGCCTAAAAGTGGCGTTTACCGTGAATTCCGCGCGAAGGTACGGAAGGCGCGGGAAAATTCTCTTTTCGAGAGGAGAGAACCAGATGCAATTTTGCTCGCGACCGAGGACTCGAGACGCCGCCAGACGCAAATACATGTGATCAAGTACGTAATGGAGAGATTTAAAAGAAGGACGGAAACTGTGACGCAGATATGAGAAAAAAAGAAGTAAAAAAAAAAGAAAACGAGGTCGAAGCGCGAGCAATTGTTGAAGGAAGCGAGTTTCGTTAAGTAAATCGCCCGATAGGACAACATCTTCTCGTCGTAACAATTCTCGTTATTTCCCAGGTAATCACACTATTCGTCTCTGTCTCTCTGTTTATCGCTGTCGCCTGCTTCACAGTCCACCGATCGAAGCTGCAGTGCATCGGATTACGCTGCCGTGTATCGATATCGTAATCTTCTATCGCGCGCCTTTGTTGGATTCTCTTGAATTCCCTTGCGATTCCAGAGACGTTCACGGATTTTTTTCCACTTCGCATATATATTTGCCGTTTTGTGCAATTCGAGAGATCATGAATTTAACGCGATAATGGTGCCAACTCTCTCGACTGCGCGGTTGACCTTCTTGGGTTCTCGAAAGGGTTGATTTCTTCTTGCTTAGCTTCTCAGTCACGCGCGGTTTCATTTGCAGTTCGTATGAACTCGTGTCTTTTTTTCTTAGACCTACGTTTCCTTTTGTGAATCTAAAATTAATTATTTTTTCTCTGCAAAATGTTTTCGAGTTCTCTCCAGTCACTAGAAACGAAGAGACTTTTACGAACATCTCAGCGTCAGGTGTGTAAGTGAGTAATGAGAATAAATCTCATCGTGGACGTTGCTTTAACTGAACTGTGAGCTCTTATTTTCTAGCGAGTGTTGGGAAATCTTACCAATTTCCGGTCTTTTACGTAGTTGCTCTTACAATGGATCACAAAGAAGCTCCCTAATCTCATGGAAAATTGCCTTCGGGAATTATTAAAAGAATGAGATTTTCATCGGTCGTTGCGTATAACGTCGAGTAATACACAAGTTAGATAGTTTAATTCCACAGACAAAGTATGAAACACGAAAGTGAGAAACACAAGAATTTAATCAGTTCAATCATGCAGTAAGTTATTTTCCATATAAGATTCGATATTTTCTGTATGTATATATATATATATATATATATATATATAGAGAGAGAGAGAGAGAGAGAGAGAGAGAGAAATTTTATATGGACTATCCATTGTAATATTTAGTTAAAAACCCAAATCACACATAATGTCACATAATTGGTTCGATAATATTCTATTAATATTGATCACATATATACACAACAAACAATACATTATTGCTACGTTGTTTATACCTGCCATTAAGCCATTAAGCGTTATGATTATTATTACATTATGAGCAACAAAAAATAAAAATATGTTGAAACATGAGCTACAAGGATATCGTTATAACATGTTTGCATAATTAATTTCTACTCGATCACGGAAGTTAAACACCGATTAACTACGCTCAGTAAAAAGATGAGTGATCGCGCACGGATAGATGAGATTCCCTAAATAAAAAAAATCATGAAAATGATACGTAAAGTGTATTATTATACATCCATAAAATAATACATAAATAATATATAAAGTATTCGATATATGTACAAGCAATATACATTACTAACTTACAAATATTATATATGTATATTTATTTACGTTTTGTATACATGCATGTGTCACATATCCAAAGAATGTACAAAATGTGGATATATTTAAGTTATGCTAATAATATACATTATACGCACTTCTTCACATGCATGAAACATTTTTTGTACATTATTTCGGTAACATTAGTGCATACTTTGCAAGCGATACTGCAAATCGCTAAGCAAAGGCTTAACTCGAAGTTCTGCGAAATTGTTCGAATTAAAACGAAGAAGTTAAAAATGTGTAATTCGTAGATGCGAGGAATATAAACAGAGGACGAATGCTAAAGCGGAATTTCTTTTTTTTAAACGTGACGATTTTAATCTAAATCTAAATCTTCAAGTAAAATATTAAAAGCTTTAAATTTAGCTTTTCGCGTTTCATTGTGCTTGGTACGCCCTACCTTATTCGCCCTTTGCTTTTTTAAATTTTATCTTCCTTATTTCATCCCTTTGCTCCTACACTCTTTTGATGTACATTCTACATGCAGTGCAACATAGGTTAACATGGTGTAAAATACATAGTATATACAATATCCACAAGCGTATACAAATAGAATATATGCTGTATGCCCAAGTGCTTCGTGGATTAATACCGTGATTAATGGAAAAAGAAAACAGTCCTCCATTAAAACATGCCGTCGGTAAATAAAAATTGGATTATCGGTCATTTGAATAATCGGTTCTCCGCTGCATATCCAATCAGAACGATATTTCCTACCGGACATATTCAAATTGTATATTCAAATTCGTCCGACACAAAATCGCGCGAGCACCAGGGGGATCAGCGTGTGTCATACGATATTCATAACACGCAAGGAAAATCACAAAGGGTGCAAACGGTTTCCTGTCTGGCGCGCCACAGTGATAAATCGCGACGATTTTTATTACGCTACGAAATACACCCGATAACACCCGCAGCAGCGACACATGCAATGCTGCTGCATCCCGCGTCTTTTTTCCGCGGCCGTCTTTTCGTCCCGACACTTCCACATATCCCAGTACAGAAATATATCACGAAATACGAACGCGCTATCGCAAAGACACACGACTCGCGCCGATATATGTGTTTATTCGCGTGTGCCACAGCACGCGCGCGCCAAGTGATTTATTCTGGTTTCCGTCGTGGTCGCGACACGATCCGCACAATGACGATTCCGTGCTTGAGTACGCGGACGAGCGTACGCGATGTTAAGCATGCTGCTAATTAAATCTCAAATTTCACCCGCCGCGATACCGAATCCAACTTGATTTGCCGGAAACATAATTCGAAATTGCCTAAAACGCGATATCAGATTGTGCGCGTTAGATATACCGGAGAACATTATCGCAAATGCGAATCTGGATCGAGTTGGATTTTGTCGGAAATTTGCCCATCGAATCGGATATATATATATATATATATATATATATATATATATATATATATATATATATATATATATATATACGAAATAGCTTTGATAAATATATTTGAAGATGGGCCAATTGTACTTTCATGTATAAACATATATATATATATATAATTTTCAACCATGGAAGAGGTTCGTGATTGTACGACTGAAACGTTTGACGAGATACGGGAGAGACCGGGGCGAGATGGCGTATTTTTCCAAATTTTAAAGTTGCAACTTTTTAGACAACTAATTGTTGCGATGGACTGTACAGTCGGCTACAAATTAGTTTGTACACTTTTTATCGAATGTTGCAACGCCTCAGGTTATTGGAATTGAAAGCCACTGCTGACGAATATGCGTAGTAATCGGTTGTGACAGGAGCCGAGTGACAGTTACAGTTACAGACAGTTACAAAGTGACAGTTACAGAGTGCGATATTTGTGAAATTTGTCCTTCTATATTGAAAATCATAAAAGCCGGTTTGATCGACCATCTTCAATCGATTTCGTCGCAGGAACGAAATCACCTTCGAGTACTCATCACTGAGTATTACTTTAATGAGTAATAAATTACTATTGTTCAGTGGTTTTATTACTACTGAAATGATTTCGAGTACTTAAATTATAGAGTTACTAATGCTACAGAGTAATTCAGTGATCATGGCGACAGTGATGATTAGTAATGTTTTATTTTCTTCTGATGAAGTACTGGCGTGAATTCCCTAATAACGAGATAGATAAGCTCAATTTTTTCATGATTTATAATTGTTTCATGTCTTGTATTTTACTAACTTATTGTTTGTCTTAGTTTGTTATAAATCTAAAAGCAATCATGTCGTTAATGGTTCTATGATATACATCAGAACAATATAAGTCGCACTCCGATTGTTGTTGCATCGTTTGCATTATTTGTTAATAAATATACCATTACAATGTTATTTGAACGATACAAGAATATATTATAAGCATTCAATAAAGTATCATCATAGCTCATAAGTTTCAGTTCGATATTCTGTTTCAGCAGCAGATAACACGGTATGAGAAGGTTAGGTAATCGCTACGGGGTCGCAGCGATGCGCATAAAATATGACATACATTTTTTATTATTTAAGAAAAATAATCAAATGTTGGATTGTCTGAACCATTTTAATATTTCAATTTGTGGAAATTTGATAAAAAATATACTATATATAGTAATTCGCCAAATAATCACTGAATCACTGAGAAGTGTTTAATCACACTACTGTTTCTTTAATAATTACCAGTAATACTTTTCTGTAAAAGTTAACGATAGTCGTTAATTAGGGAGAAACTGTAAAGGACTTACCGTCCGTGATCAATGCGTATATAAATACGAATTAACAGTAGCATCTGGAGTTACGTGTTATTTTTTCAGCTACGGCGCAACTGTTTGCCGAGAAAACAGAATCGCCGCGTTGTTCGATTCGCCGTCGCCTCGAACGGGCAATTTATCTGCGGCTGGAATTCTATTTTCAGGGCATTGCCAGCTTCATCGCGCTCACGGCGGAATACAACATCTGCATCGCAGTTAGCGAGAAGATCCTGCGGAATTCGAGGATCGAGGACTTCGACAGGATAATCGACCGTCTGAGCTCAAAACACAACGCCAGGGGAGTTATATTATTCGTCGATGAGGATAATGTAAGGTAAGAGATATATAATAATATCTTCTTCATGTCCACCCCCGCGCTGCATTTATACAGGGTGTCCCAGACTCGTCTCCACAACGTTCGTGCCCGAGTCGAAATTTTGACCCTATATTGAACCTTGAATTCTATACCGCAGTAAGAGCTAAGATAGCAAGGTAGGTTTAATTCTAATAATATAATTTACTTCTACTTTGACCCTGATAATGTCTGAAATTTCCGCTTTCGCTTTCTTTAGCGTCAAAGTAGGTTGTATAATAGTAGTATCTTTGGAAGCAAAGTAGGTTCAGTTGCAAACGTCTATTGAAGCTTTAGCTCCTACATAGAATACATGTATTTTATAGAAATATTTAATAAATTTAATAAATAACGAAACAGAAACGTCAAATAGCATACAAACATTTTATTTGTTGCATATATTTCAGATATCATCAGGGTCAAAGTAGGAGTAAATTATATCACTAGAATTAAACCTACTTTGCTATCTTAGCTTCTACTGCGGTGTAGAATTCAAGGTTCAACATAGGGTCAAAATTTCGACTCGGAAATGAGTGTCAATATCGTCAAAACAGATTTCATCTAAGTTGTCGATTATCTAAGTAGGCTCAAACTATTTTTAAGAGCGTTAAAATTTTAACAAGGTAGAGTTAAAAGTTCAAAAGAGAGGTTAATGAATATCAATATCGTCAAAATAGGTTTTACTTAGGTTATAAACCGTCTAAATAGGCATAAACTATCCTTAAGAGCGTTAAAGTAGCATCAAAATCTCAACTCGGGTGGGAATATAAAACGAATTGAGGTGAACATAAATGGTGAACATAATAGGTTAAATTAAACAAAAAAATTTTTCATCACTTTGCATATAACTACGTAGGTTTTAGACAATAATGAAAATTTCAATTATTAATTAAGTTTATTTTAGTTTTTAATTGTTAATAAAAGTTTCAATTATTAAGTTTATTTTAATTTGCAGTTATTAATGAAAGTTTTAGTTATTAATGAAAGAAAAATTACTACATGATCGCGCACAATAATATACAAATTTTCTTTAAGTAATAATTAAAAATCTATGTAGTCATTTGCAAAATAGTGTCCATGACTTTTTTGTTCAGTTTTACCTAATGTGTAAGTATACAATGGTAGATGGTGTTACAGCTCATCTATTACATTGCGCGTGATCATTCTTTTATCTTCTTTAATTAATATCTCGAGATATTTTGCGAATATCACAAAACGGCATGGAACTTTCATGTTTAATCCGCTCTATGTCTCCACAAGCGCTTCGTAGACTGTTCTGGAACCTATATACGATTGCCAACTGTACATGCGCATATATAGGGTGCCTGATTACATATAAAATTCTCATGTACGTGTAGATTAGCTCAAACTAAACAAAAAGTTTTTTATCATTCTGCAAACAACCACGTAAAATCTTAAGTTCGAAAAAAGATTGGCGAATCATCACATGCTATGAGGTAAAAATTGCTGTGCGACACTTGCTATCGTGCTTGTACATTAGGTTAAACCAAATAAGAAAGTCCTTTAGCATTTTGCAAATAAGCGTAGATTTTTTATTTTATCAACTAGAGAAGATTCGCAGACAGTCACGCGCGATCACTGGCCAATCTTCTTCACTGAATAACTCCAACATCTACATGGTTATATATTTGCAGAATTGTAGATTTTTTGTTCATTTTTAACCTGATCTATAAGCACACGACAGTAGGCGTCGCCATCACAGGTCAGTTGCCGCATAATGTGTCATCGTTCACGGATCTTTTTTTAATTAATAATTTAGAATTTTATATGGTAGGTTGCGAAATGGTAAAGGATTTGTTTTGTTCACTTTTCTCTGATCTACATGTACACGAGAGTTTTATATGTGTATTCTCAGTTCCTGTGTGTACACACAAATGTACACACGCGCGCGCGCGAGATTCGTTATGAGAGACGTTGTGGAAAAAAGCGCGATTGTTGAAATCTGCCCGGCGCGAAAAATGCTGCACTTGCTTTATTTTTTTTACGACAGAGAGCAGAAAATGGAATTATTAGACTGCGAATGAAATATTTTTCTTTTTTTGTCCTTTTTCTACCATTTCTGGCAACCACGCTCTACCTACAAGTACGTAATCAAATGCAAAACGATTTACTAAAACAATAAAAACAAATTATAGTTTCGTATATATATATAATATTTTAAATTAATTAATACTTTCCATTACGTAATATTCGTGCGAAGTTTAAATTCTTTACGGATAGATATTGAACAATTATGTATTGAGTCATGACTCTTACTAGAAAATATTTAATATACAACGTATATATGTTAAAATTCTTGCGATGGTTTTTCGTCGTAAAAATGAACGATTCTTCAACGTTTAACACAAAAATTTGACACACGATTGCGCTACACCAAAGTAACCCGTAGGAAAGAAGATAGCAAATGTGTCATGAAGTGAAATTATTCCGCATGATTTTCTCTAGTGGATCTAAATGGATCGATGTCATGTTGTCGTTGGTTTGATATCAATTACACGCATTTAGAGGACTAGGATGTTATCGAGCAATGAGATCTGCTCGAAATTCTCCAAGCCGATATCTGGTAGGTAATGATGTAATATCAACGGCTGTAACGTGGGAGGTGTAATTTTCGATTATCCTAACGTTTAATAGCATCCGCGGAAACAATCTCGAATTAGGAAGTCAACGTCCGTAATTAGGAACAGCCGCTTAATTGCACGCACGCGCACGACCGCGTTTATCACGTTAGTGTTTGTTCTAAACTAATCGTGGCTGTCAAACGTTATGATCATGACAAACTGCGATACTGAAACAAATCGCGCCCGTCTGCTTACGGATTATTTATATAATTACGTCGTGAAATAATTTCGCGTAATGAACAACAAGTGAAGTTGAAACGAATTCATTAAAATGACGTAATCGTCGATTTATCTTGAATTACTTTAAATTACGTTTGTTATATTCAGTTTATAATATTACGTTTATATACACATGAAAAATGCGTTTGTATTTTATCAGCTCAGTCAAAAAGTTCACATTGATTTTCATTAAGTGGCATAACATGTATGCAGTGCAGGCAACAACCTGAGTCGAAATTGTAGCCTTACTCTCCTTTTGACTTAAACTTTCTAACATCTATATATTCTGAAGGATCATGGCATGTGTTTAATACTGAAGTCATGTTTTTTTAATATCTTTAAATAGCACAAAAACACACAAAATGCCATTTATAGATTTTAAAGAAAGCTTTACGGCAAAATTAATAGATTAAATAGAATCAAAAGAGATTGATGTAGACTTCACAGTATCAAAGTAAGTGTTAAATGATATATTGAGGTCGAAAATAAGATTAAAATTTCGATTCGAGTTAACAACCCGAGTTGAAATTTTAGTTATTTTCATTTTTTTTACTTGGAATTTTAGTTACTTTAGAAAGTTCAGTTACCTGAACTCTGTAACATCTGTATATTCTCAAGGATGCATGTATATTTAATACAAATAGGAACTGAAGTCATACTTAATATTTTCAAATGGCAGAAAACGCACAAGAGGTTTCAAAGAGAATCTCTTAGCAAAGCTGGTAGGTTAAACAGAATCAAAAGAGATTAACTTAGCTTTTAGAATATTAAAGTAAGTGTTAAGTGGAATATTGAGGTCGATAGTAAGATCAACATTTCGACTCGGCAAAGTATTACTCGATTAATAACAAGTTATTGGAGACGTAGATTGAAGACAAATTCGCCCAAAAATGAAGTAAAATGTTTTCCTTCAGTCAACATGATGCACCAGATATTTGACTCTAAGTTCATGAGAATATCAAAAGCAAGAAATATGACGTGAACACTGCTCCTAGGCGAGGACGAAGCATCTTGTAGCTTAAAAAATAAAATATACATTCACGAAAAATGCGCGATTATAGCATATCTCTAAGAGGAATTTGCCGACGACCGAATTACGTGGAGGAAATTTCGCAGAAACGTACGAAAATTTAATATTTTTCTCTACCTTCCTTTCTGCGCGTAAATAACTTCGTATACATAATTTGCTTTCATACGACATTTTCCTTTTCTGAATCGAAACCACTGCTATTCGAGGAGGAGTTTGTTCTCGAGGTAAGGGACAGTGCGCGAAAGTCCGGGTCCAACGGACGGAAAAGGAAAGGGAGAGAGAGAGAGAGAGAGAGAGAGAGAGAGAGAGAGAGAGAGAGAGAGAGAGAG